TGGGAGGACTTGAACCTCCAACCTCTCGGATAGCAGCTGAGTACGTTAACAGTTTGCATCACCCAGGGGCTCCAAAAGGTGATACGCACTATGGAAAATAGAAAAAGAGCGGAGGGAGAAGTAGAAGTATACATGTGCAGGCACAGGTCACCATCTCATATAGCGAGGTCAGAGGAGCCTTCATTGCCAAGGGGAGACCTGAGCCTGTTTTGATGGTGCTATATTTCAGGCACATTAGCAAGTTACTATAATAGCAGCTCTCTCTCTCTGTTTTTTTTTTTTTTTGGAGTGCCTAGTATATTCCACTACCACCTGTCTGTCAGTCTGCTGTAGCACTGTGGTAGCTTCCGTGTTGCTGTGATGCTGGAAGCTATACCACTGGTATTTCAAATACCAGCAGGGTCACATGGTGGACAGGTTTCAGCAGAGCTTCTACACTAAGGCAGACGAGGAAGAAAGGCTTGGCAATCTACTTCTGAAAATCAGCCAGTGAAAATCCTATGGATCACAACAGAACACTGTCCAACACGCTTGCTTTGGATACCTCATTAAGAGGGATCAATTGCTGGAGCAGGACATGATGTTTGGTGAACTAGATGGACAGCAAGGGCGAGGGAGACACTTGGTGAGATGGATTGGCACAATAACCACAACATGGACTTGAAGATGCTGATGATCATGAGGATGATGTAGGACTGGGCAACGTTTTGTTCTGTTGTACATAAGGTCATCGCCATGAGTTGGAGTTGACTGGATGACAGCTAACAACAACGATATATGCCAATTCCTGTCCTACGTGTCTTAGGATGTTATTTCTAATTCTTAAAATGGTCCTGCAAAGTAGGTAGCCTCATCTCATTTGTTCACAAGAGGAAAATGAAGGCTTAGGGAAGTTAAGCCCAGGGCCCAAGATCACACAGCAATTCAATGGCTTAGTAGAGATTTGAATCTGGTAGTTCACTTCATTGCAAAGCTGATGGACTTTCCACCATACCGGTGTGCTTAGGACATTACCTACATCAACACCCCCTGGAGGTATTCATTAGGAAGTGCAGATGCCTGGGTCCCATCCCAGTGCTACTGAATCAGATTCTCGGGCGTGTAGCCCAGGAATCTGAATGTCTAAGTTTCCTTGTAACTCTGTTGCACACTCAAGTTACCACTGTTATCATTTGCTTCTTGCGTTCTTTGGGAGAGTGATCATGATGGTTGTTATGACATATTTCCAGCTCTTGCATTGCCAAATCAGTGCCTGAAAAGTAAACAACCAATGCAGAAAACTATATCTTAGCCAGACTCTTGAACCGGTGTCAGCCCCTGAATCCAGATGCCTCTTCTGGATTATGGCCCAAAGACACGTTCTTTTCCATCCTTTCCCACTAACTCAGATACTGGCAACTTGGGAGAAGCATTCTCAGCGTCGGGAAATGAACGACATCAGGACAGTCAGAACCAACGTGGGTTACTACATCCCCTCCATCAATTCTTATGTTAAGTTGCCGCTTCCAGGGTGCATTCTGTCTTCAAGGAAAAGTTCACAATCAACTTCTCTAGCACGTCTTCCTTCCCAACACCAATGGGCAGTGATGCTCCCCTTTCCAAGCTCATAAATCCTTCCAAGGACTGTGACGTTCCACAGTTGTTAACTACTTTTAACCATCAGGTCCTGTCTAGCTTCATCCTTCCTTGTTTGAAAATACCATCATACTTCTGGAAGCTTCTTTAAAAAGCAGAAACAAACACCAACTATATACATGATGAAATGCTTGTTCATCCACACAGGTCAGTTCTGCCAACCAACCACTAGCCTTGGTATAAACAAGTCGATTTTGAAATGTCAACTATGCCGAGAGAAACTAAGAATTCTTCTGTGCTTTCTGGAATAAAAGAGGGGAAGCCTGTACTAGGACAGAGAACCATGCAGTTTTTCGACCTAGAAGTGCTCTTGGACATCATTCATTCGAACCTAGTCCTATTATACTAAAGAAATAGAAATCTAAGGAGATGAGGTCACGTAGCTAATGCACAGCAGAAGTAGGACTAAAACAAAGTTTTCTAGTTTCCGAGCTAGTATCCTTCTACTTACTGATCCAGGCTTGGAATCTTTGATCTGCCTCCCTTCCCACATCACTGTCCTCTTTCTCAATATACAATTCCCATAATCAGTCCAAGGAGATTAGGAATGCTTCTGTGAAAGGCTAAATTACTCTAAAAAAGTTACCTTTAATTCCTCCATGCCCAAACCTTTTCATACGTTTAAGGAGTAAGAACTGGTAAGATGGAAATCATATGAAACAGAATTACCATGGAGTCAGTCATTAATTCCAATACTATTTCTTTTGCTCCTACCATGTGCCAGACACAGGAGTCATGCAGTCAAGAAAAAAGACGGGAACAGACCAAAATTCATCCTGGAGTTTACATTCTAGTGGGGAGACATTAGTAGCCTGTATTAGTGGTGAGTGATAAGGAGGGAAATACAGCAGGGAAAGGGGATAGGGAGTGTGGATGCGTGTGAGGTTTGTGATTTCAGAGAAGGTGGCCAGGCAAGGCCTCGCAGAGAAGCGAAGACCACAAATGGGGAACACGAATATGAGCTACTACCCAAGACGCTGTCGACATCAATCCCTACAACGAACTGCAAACCAAGATCGGATTTGGAAAATGGTGGAGAAGGCAGAATACTATCTGCAGCCTGTCAGCAGAGGCTCGCGTGTTGCTAGGGTGCTGAACCGGTTTCAACAGAGCTTCCAGACCAAGATGGACTAGGAACAAAGGCCTGGTGGTCTAGTTCCAAAAATTAGCCAGTGAAAACCCTATGGATCACAACGGTAGGATCCACAACCAGTCATGGGGATGGTGCAGAACTGGGCAGTGTTTTGCTCTGCTGTGCATGGGGCCACCCTGAGTCAGGGCTGACTCAATGGCAACTAACGGCAAAAGCTGCTGTCCTTAGTAATCCCGGAAGTAGGGAACAGGAAACAGAGGACTGCCACAATCCAAATGGCGGCAGCTGTACTTTCCCACATCACAAAAACAGACTAGGAAGTGTTTTGTCAGTATCTGAGAGGAAAATAAATAAATGCCTGATGGTTTGTGGAAGGACAGATATGCAGGAGAACTTTGCTTAGAATACAGAATTTAGAGAATAGAATTAGGATCAAAGAGAGGTGCTTATTTTATTTTGTTAGAACAAAACGCCAGAGAGCATGAAATGATGCCAAGACTACTTGGCAAGATGATACATGACTTAAAATGTGAGGAAAATGTTGAGAAGTTCAGACACTTGGTTCATCCAAACATGTAATTAATTATGAGGATTTTGGCTGAAGTGTGAAATGTACACAGCGTCAGTGCACCATCTTTGAGAGCTTACTGTGTGCAACACAGAGAGTGCTTCAGAGACACGGTCGCTTTACCTCAGTGAACTTGTCACTGTGGTAACTCCATGTTCTCTTTCTCCTGGGCACCCAGCCAGAACACATTTCCCAGCCTCCCTTGCAGTTAGCGGTGGCTTCTTGGTGAGCTGTGGCCAATGGGATTTGAGAAGATGGGATGGATACCCCTTCTAGCCTTGGCCCATAAAATCCTAGCGGATGGCAGAGCCTCAAGGTGCAAGGAGCTAGGATGCCTCAATCCCCACCTGGAAGGCTGTCCACCAAACATCAAATTAAACTTTCTGCCTGCGAGATATTTACGTGTCTTGTGTTGAAGCACTGAGATTTGGGGCAGCTTGCATTGCCTAACCAATATACTTATTAATAAACATGCATATAGAATTTGACAGTTTGCAGAATGCTTTCAGATATCAACAGACTCTGGTAACCACCCTGAGAATTAGGCCATATTTTTATTTCTCCCATTTCACAGAAACTGAAATTGATACTGAGTGCTGAATTTCTTGTTCACGATCACATAGGTAAGACACAGAGGGCAAGGATTCTGAATCACTGACTCTCACATTTACAAAACCTAATTGGTATATGACAAGCTTGGAAACGAATCTAATGCATGGCGCTTGATAAATATAGACAAAACATAAAGGGGATCGAAAATGGGGAACTAGCACGCTTCACTGAAGAAGTCACAAAAGGCTTGAGTGGAGTAGGAGTGGAGGAGGTAGGATTTATGGCGAGGGTTTGCAAACTGACAACAGATATGAGAGAAGGAACATGGGGAAAGTTGCTGTAAATTCTGACATGCAATTTGAGTGGTGAACAGAAATAGAAAAGAGTTGGCATCTGTTCTAATGATTCAAGGGAAGTTGGAGCAAGTAATGCAGTTTTATGAAGGAAAACAGGAACTGGTAATTCAATACAAATCAAAAAAATATTTATTGAATGACTGCCAGATGGAGGGCCTTCCAAAAGTGTACAGAGGATACAGAGAGGAGATAACAAGGGCACAGCCCTTATTTTAAATGAGTTTGTAATCTACCAGGGGAATTAGTCATAAATTACCGTAACACAATGATGAATAAGATAAACACCACAAAGTCAAGTAATGGGGTTCAAGGTACAAAGAAATGACATGAGAAGTGCCATGGGAAGGACAGGTGAAGGACAGGCAAAGTTTCACGTGGGAGATAAGACGTCAAGATTGCTCTTGGAGAATGTGCTATCACAGAGGGTGGTTACAATACATGAGGGCCACAGATACAAGGCCAAAAGAAAGGGTTTCAACAACAGTTTGAACAAGGACACTGTTATACGAATAGTTAAATGACTCCAAAGAGTGACCATCGTTTAGGGGGCAACAGAGTGAAATTTATAATTTTGGGTATGTTTGTTTAGAAGTAGAGTGACAGAGGCACAAAACTTACAGTGAAATCATGTGTTCTGGAAGTTTCGATTCCTACTGAAACTGCCTAGCTTCCCATGACTTCATTTAAATGACCAGTATTGGAGACCAGAAGGGGATGCACTAGAGTTTCATTATGCAGCCGTAAAGCAACAGAAAGGCGATTCACCATGATGTCACCCCCAAGCAGGGCCACCTACCATGAACAGGGCTTCGTAGTTTTCAATCATTTTCTGCACCACAGCAATGATGGCGGTGCTCTCCTCAGCGCGAGCTGAACTCTGGACCGAGAACTCTTTGTCTGATGACTTCTGCTTGTGCAGCAGGTTGGGTCCGAATATGGTGGCCAAGTTCAGAGATGTCATTTTGTTCCCAGTGACCTATGGGAGGAGGGAACACAGGACTGTTGTTATTTTTGCTTTACAAAATGCAGGAGGGATCGATAATCAATGAAACTTTTTTCCTTTCCATTTTATTTTTTCCGGCAGGGCCCATGTTGTTTCCGTTAGAATCCAGGAAGGTTGGACTATCAGATGGTTCTAACTAAGAGCCATTCCAGGGGCAGAGGAGAAAGAAGCAGCAGTGAATGGAGATACTTTTTCCAAAAAGTATCTGACAGGGAAGGAAGAAGAAAGATAGCAGGAGCTAAAGGGTAGTACAGAGACGAAGAAGGGAATTCTTTTTTTTACCTGAAATATTAAAAAAAAAAAATTACTCATGTTCAATATATTATTAATTAACAAGTACAGGTAAGCATAAAGAAAACAAATTGCCCATAATCCCATCACTCCCAAGAACCAGCCATTCATACTCTTTCTATGCACATATACACATATATGTCTACACTATTATTTTCGTTTCTAAAACTGGGATCATGGTGCATATATTATTTTGTAACTTGCTTATTGTTTCTTAACAATATGTTGCATTCATCTTTCCACTGCAATAAATCCTATATTGTCATCCTGATCGGTCCCTAGCATCCCATTGCACGGATAATATCACAATTCGTTTTAATCACAGCCAACTGACAGGCACTTACACTGCTTTCAGTTTTCTGTTGTTACAAACATTGGTACAAAGAAGAGCCTTAAAAAGACATTTTGTGAACTTGCCTGAGCACTGTCTTAGGAGTAATCCCTTTAGGTGGAATTGCCGTAACAAGGAATACTAGCATTTTAAAAGGCTTGAGAATTCCTTTTACCTACTTACTTTACCTATCTATATCTATTCATCCATCCATCCCTCCATCCATCTACCTATTTAATTTTAAGATGGAAAAGATGAACTGGTTAAGTTTCTGTAGGCCACGGTTTCTTCATCACGGCACTATGTGGGGCCAGATCATTCCTTGTGGTGGGGCTGTCCTATATATTATAGGATGTTTAGCAGCATCCCTGGCCTCTACCTATTAGATGCTAGTAGCATCCCTCCCACCTCCAGTTTTGACAACCAAGAATGTCTCCAGACATTGTCAAGGGTCCCCTGGGGTGCAAAGTGGCCCACGGTTGAGAACCACTATTCTAGGTGAATTTTTATTTCTCTTGTCAAATTAGTTAAAATTCTAGGCAAGCCTGGATAAGTACAGGAAGTGGCTGCTTGGTGGGGAGACTGCCTGGGCCGATCTGCGCGGATTTGAAAAGCACATGGGTGCACAGCATAGAATTCAAGAGTTGCAAGTGACAGTTGAGAACAAGCCTCCTGAGTCACACCGTGTCCTGTGGAGCCAGAGCTGGCAGTTCCTTGCCTGCAATCTCAGCATGGCCCATGGGTTCCATGATTTTCAGAAGGCAATTTGCAGCCAAGTGAAATTGTTTCCTGTGCTAAATGCTGGGAACTTTAAGTAGAGCACGCTTTATCTATGATTGCTTATTTTTTCTTTATTTCATTGATAAAACACGACAAGTTTTCATTTTACTTTTCATTTCTCTCGCTGGAAATTCATGATTAAGGATAAAATCAAATATATGCAATTTCAAATTCTTCCCTTTAGAACTAGGAAGCACTGGGAATCCTCTCCCCTCCCCAAAGTAATATCAGAGTTTCTCTCTCTCTCTCCTTTTTTTAACATTAACAAATAGAAGAGTTTGTTTTCTTTTAAAAGAATATTTAGTACAAGGACAATCTGAAGCTCTGCTTCCTCCCTGTCCTTCTCCTGGTGCTATTCTGGGAATGTAACACAATCCGTCTGTAAAATCGCATAGATTCTAGCTGCGGACCAAGCCATTCCTTGCTGTGGTTTGTTAATGCCTTTTTTGTTTTGCTTTGTTTCATTTTTTAAACTGGAAAGTAGATTTACTCACAGACAACATCGACCCTTGCTCTCTCTGTTTAAATACGTATATACATGTATGTGTTAAATATGTATATAATATACATGCATATACATATATGTTTTAATTGTCTCATATGCATGGGAAAGCTGACAATGAATAAGGAAGATCAAATAATTGACCCCTTTGAATTGTGGTGTTGTCAAAGAATACTGAATATACCATGGACTGCCAGAAGAATGAACAGATCTGCTTTGGAAGAAGTACAGCCAGAATGCTCCTTAGAAGCAAGGATGGTGAGACTTCTTGTCACATACTTTGGACATATTATCAGGAGGGATCAGTCCCTGGAGAAGGATATCAATCTTGGTAAAGTAGAGGGTCAGCGAAATAGAGGAAGACCCTCAACGAGATGGATTGACACAGTGGCTGCAATGATCAGCTCAAGCATAACAAGGATTGTGAGGATGGCGCAGGACACGGCAGTGTTTTGTTCTGTTGTACGTAGGGTCGCTATGAGTCAGAACTGACTCAACGGCACCTAATAACAACAACAGCAACATATATCAGAAGCCCTGGTGGCACAGTGGTTAAGTGCTCAGCTGCTAACTGAAAGGTTGGTGGTTCAAACTCACCAGCTGCTCCTCAGGTGAAAGATGTGATAGTCTGCTTCTGTAAAGATTTGAGCCTTGGAAACCCTATGGCGCAGTGCTACTCTGTCTTATAGGGTTACTATGAGTCAGAATCGACTTGATGGCAACAGGTTTTATATACATATATACGTATATACACTTATATATACATATATGTATGTACACATACGTATTTGTATATAGATATGTATATATACATATACATATATACACATATAGAGGTCCCTGGGTGATGTTCAGCTACTAACCGAAAGGTTGGCGGTTCAAATCCACCCAGTGACACTGCGGAAGAAAGGCCTGGTGATCTACTGCCATAAGATTATAGCTATTGAAAACCTTATGGAGTACAGTTCTACTCTGATACTCATGGGGTTGCCATGAGTCAGAGTCAACTTGACAGCAGAGTTTTTTTATATATGCATATATAAAATATAAATAATATATAATATAAACATATAAATACATATATAGATAAAACATATAGAATATGAATATACATACATACCTACACACACACACACACACACACACGGCCATGTCTAGGTAGTACAATGTGCACTTGATGATGGGTTATTATTTAATTAGCCAGCAAATTCAAGGACAAGTTTGATCTTCACTGAATAAGCCTCCTTGATCATTTCTGAGCCTAATGGGAAAAGCTCATATTTATTAACCGTTTCGCATGGACAGTCACTGGGCTAGGGGCTTCCCACAGGCTATTTTAACTCTTTCTCTCTCTAGGCTTCTGCAGCAGCTGTTGTTTTTGTCCTTATTTTTTGGAGGAGGGAAGTAACACATAGAGATGACAGCTGGGAGGTGCTGGAGCCGGGAAGCAGGTGGCCCCACTCTTCCTTGGCCGCTCTTCCATGGGCAATAGGCAATGGGCAATGGGACCACTAGCTTTAAAGCAGGGCAGGGACGAGGGCCCTCACCTCGAGCGCAAAATGGAAGGGGGCGCCAAAAAACTCAGTCATCAACTAAATAGTGTTTGAATGCCAAATGCTGAAAAATCAACCATGAATGCAGAAAAATCTATGATGACTGAGTTTTTTGGAGCCCCCTTGAATTTCGCACCCCGGGTGAGTGCCTCACTCCCCTCCATCCTTACGCTAAAGTTCCAAAGCCAATCTTCCATTTCCTAGTGCATATTCCTCCCCAAAGATCAGTAATCACACTGGTTCTTCCTGTTTGGCATACAGGCCCTTTAAGGGGCAAATGAAAGCTATGGGTTCTCTCACCAGAAAAGTACAATTTCACACCACATTATCCATGCAATGCCGGGGGGTTCTTGGACTTCCTGAAAAAACACTCCTGAAGGCTGTTTCAATTTTGATCCTGTAATATTCTTTCTAGAAGAAATAAAATCTGTCTTACATTTGGGAATTTCTGCTTCCCCTAAGGAGCAAAGCAAACAGCAAACTAAACAAAACAGAATAAAATATAACAAAAAAAAAAAAGATAGCAAAACACCACAGTTCGATAAAAGATCACTATTTTTTTTTCCAAAAAAAGCACCGAGGGACTAGTCAACAATGTTTCTCATGCCCTTCTCATAGACATCTTTAAGATTCCATTAATTAATGACGCATTGAATTTTAAAACTAATTAACACGCATTAGAAAGGAAATATTTTGTTCATTTAGGTCCCTAGGTGGCTCAAACAGTTTGCGCTCCAGTATTAACCTAAAAGTTGGCAACTGCAACCCACCCAGCAGTGCCACAGAAGAAAGCCTGGCGATCTGCTTCCATAAAGATCATAGCCAAGAAAACACTATGGAGCAGTTCTACTCTGTAACACATGGGGTCACCATCAGTTGGACTTGACTTGATGGCAACAGGTTTGGTTTTATGTTCATTTTACAGATAAGGAAACTACGACCCTCTATCTACCCCTGCCAACCTCCATTTTCTTTCCTCTTCTGTCATTTTATAAAGACAAGGCCATGTAGCAAGGTGACGGCAGAGTCTGTGTGAGCCCCAAGCTTCTCGACGCTCTGGTTCGGTAAAATTCCGTGTTTCAATCTAGAAAAGCAACTCCCTAACAAAGAGACGACACAACTAACACAAACGGACAAGTAGAGAAGAGAAAAAGCTGAACATCGCTTTCTTGACCATATTTTGAAATTTGATTCTCAGTCTCGCTACAGTCTGCCCAATTCTGTTTCTATCTGAACGTGCCAAACCAACGAAACTAATAATACATAGAGAACCTCTCTCTCATTCCTCTATCTCTACTCTTAACTTCTATCAGAAGGGATGGAAGCTAACTCCCGTCTCTATGACATGCGTATGCTCTCGGTTTACTCAGTGCCTATGCACCCTTCCATGTGTAGCTTATGTTCAATTACCTCCCTGCAGCCATTCCTAACTTCTCTGCCCACCTCCATCACTCATTCTCTGAACTCCTGCAGTGACTCAGCAGAGCATCACCTAACTCCACAGTTGCCTGTGTCCTCACCTCCTCCATTTCCTGGACACTAGAGCATACCAAGCGGGGCAGCGCTGGTGCAGTGGTAGAATTCTTGCCTTCCATGCGGGACACCCAGATTCCATTCCCGATCAATGCACCTCATGCGCAGCCACCACCTGTCTGTCGGTGGAGGCTTGCATGTTGCTATGATGCTGAACAGGTTTCAGTGGAGCTTCCAGACTAAGACAAATTAAGAAGAAAAGCCTGGCGATCTACTTTGGAAAATCAGCCAATGAACACCCTATGAATCCCAACAGTGTAATCAGCAACTGATCATGGGGATGGTGCAGGACCCAGCAGAGTTCTGTTCCCTCGTGCATGGGGTCGCCATGAGTTGGGGGCCGACGTGATGGCAGCTAAGAACAGCAGCAAACAGAAAACGGTAGTCAGGAAATCCCTGAACGATGATCACTGGTGTACTGTTATTCAAGGTAGACACTCAGGACACGCTTGATTCAAATAATTACTGTATGACATACTTCTGTTCTTACAAAAGCTATTCGTATAAAAGTAGGTTGAATAGTGGCTCCACAAAAGATCCCTAAAAGATCCTAGAAATTGAGAATGTGAGCCTATTTGGAAAAAGGGTCTTTGAAGATGTAATTCAGTTAAGGATTTGAAGATGAAATCATCCTGAATTATCCAGATGGGCATTAAATCCAATGACAAGTGTCCTTATAATAGACTGATGAGAATACAAATTGAGAAGAAGGCCATGTGAAGGCAAAGGCAGTGATAGGAGGGATGCTGCCACATGCCAAGGAATGCTGGCAGCAACCAGAAGCTGGAAGAGGCAAGGAAAGATTCTCTCCTAGGGCCTCCAGGGGAACCTGGCCCTGCCAACATCTTGATTTCGGATAAGAACTATGAGAGATAAACTTCTGTTGTAAGCCACTCACTTTGTAGTGATTTGTCATGGCAGCGCTGAGAGACTAACAGAGCTTCCTAACTCCCTCTCTCCCATCAATAACCAATCGGCAGCATGGATCATCTCGTCTGTTAGTCAAATCCTTTCGAGGATTCTTGGCTTAAAAATCAACCACCTTGCCCTTACAGAGGCATTTGGTATCCTATGAGCATAGCCTGATTACCCCTCGGGCCCCTCAGTACTTCCCCGCTGGTACTCTTCACTCCAGTCTAAGATGGCGGCACAGGCTACTTGCTTACTATAACTTCTAAGGATTGCACAGAAGCAAAGCCCTCCTTACATTTCCCACGCCGCTTTAATCTTTGATTATTACTCTTTCATTTGGATGCAAGGTTGAGGTCCAGAGTGTCTAGAAACCTTTGCAACCCCTTGCTGCCTTGTACAACTTTGCTGTTAACAAGAGGTTTTCACATTCCTTAGAGTAAACCAGTCCTCTCAACCACTGTACAGTGACAGTTCAAGAACTGTTATTCTCAACGTTCAGGTAGGAAAACCAGGTTTAGGCAGGTTAATGGATTTGTGCCAAAACACATGGCTAGCGATTTACAGAGCTACCAAGTGTTCTCAACAGGGGGTGATTTTGTCCCCAGGGGACATGTGGCCTTGTCTGGAGACATCTGTGGTTGTCACGCTGGGGAGGGGGAACTATAGTCATCTAGTGGGTAGAGGCCTGGGATATGGCTAGACATCCTACAATGTGCAGAACAGCCCTACCACAAAGAAGGATCCAGCCTCAAATGTGAGTTGTGCTGAAGCTGAGAAACCCAGAGCTAGACCTCCAGTACAGGTCTAATTCCTACTCTGTATGTATGTTCTTGGTATGTTAGACTGGCTTGGGTTGGAGGCACAGCTGGGATTTTCTTAGTCATGGGACTGACCCCACCACTAGCCAATATGATAACTTTGTGTGAATTAGAGAAAGGAGCCCCTTCTTCAAGACATTTTACTGCCATCCACTGGGACGTTGCCCTAATAGCTACGCAAATCTATAGGGACTTTGGGGCACATGGTGCCTCCCAACGACTTGTGAAATGCACAAATGTGCAACCTGCACAACCAGAAGTGGAGACTCCCAGTGGGACACCGGGTAAGTTACTTGACTCCTTGGGCCCTCAGTTTCTACCTCCAATACATCGGAACAATGATGTCTCTCTTGCCTGTTAGGAGGAATAGCGACAATATATGTAAAGCTACTAGCACAATGATAGCACATGGTAAAAAACCCCGACCCGTTGCTGTTGAGTCGATTCTGACTCATAGTGACCCTATAGGACAGGTTTCCAAAGACTGGCTGGTAGATTCAAACTACCGACCTTTTGGTTAGCAGCCGTAGCTCTCAACAACTGCGACACCAGGGCTCCAGCACGTGGTAGGAGATACAAAAATGGTAGCTAGTGTGCCAGCATACTACCTCTCATTTATACCCATCCAAGAATACTTTCTTCTTTTTTGCTTAGGCAATGCTGTATTGTTCAGCATTTGGATGGAAAGAATATCTGAAAATGATTCTAAAACGGCAACAGTGAGTTCAATTGGACTTTTCTCTTTCCTTGATGCCTTCTTAACAGCTTAGACCTGACTTTCTCCTTCTGACATAGCACTTAAGAAATACCAGCAAAGCAACTGACCTTCCTAAGAACACAGGGCTGTCTCTGACTTTACCCAGTGATTACGCACATCATTCTACCACCAACAAAGGCTGACACCCAGACAGGTGGTAGAACTACTCAGCAATTATGAGAATTATACCATAGCCATCAAAGAGCTGTGTGTGTGCTGAAAGAATGTGGCAGGGCCATAGTATTAAATCGGCAGCCAGCAGAAGTTTCAGTGATTATAACTACTAGAGTGATAAATGGCAAACTCAGGGAAGTTCCATTCCCTCCCCAACACAGAGGATGAGCATAAGAAATATGGAATTGTCTTTCTGCATTTAAGTGGAAAAAAATATATATATGACTATCTTTTTTGGGAAAAACATTTGACCATTTCATGGAATTGGATCCCCCATACAGCTGAGTTCTGCTTAACAAGGATATAAAATAAAAGTTTCAGTGGTTAATTTGGGAAGCCTCTGGCCCCTTGTTGATTTACAATGCATGCTCGCCTATTAAAGGGCCTGATAGCTTCTGGGGAATCCAAGGTCAGGGAGAAGTAAGGCTGCATGGTATCAAAGAGGGAAGCTAGTTTCCCGTTAAGGTAAAGATGAAATAGGTAGCTTGGTAGGAGGTCACTTAAAAATTAGGCCAGCACCTCCCTTGTCCAAGGGTGAAACCAAAAAACACCTTGAAGCATATGAGTGTGGCCAAAGAGAGCTAGAGCCCAAGACCTCAGATGTGGGTCACACTGGGGCCTGGGTGGGGACTAGGTCCCACCAAAATATCACTAAAGAGCCTGTGGGACTGTGCAGAACTGTCTTCAACAGTTGACACCATGTTGCACCAAGATACGATGGCAACGATCAGTAAAGCAGAACTTCTAGTTCCCTCTACATCTGGTGGTGGAAGCAGGATTGACCCTCCATTGGATAGAGCCAGTTCCTACTTTGGGGGGAGGTTTAAGGAGAGAAGGACCCCTCTGAAGACAGATATTGGAATTCTAGCTACTAGGACAGATGGGAGCTCCAGAGATAAATTGGAAGATTAAAGAGGTGACATCATACTTGGACTTCAAATGAGTTGCAAGGACAGCAATGTCCCCACTCCCGTCACTCTACTGTCTCCTGATTCCAAGCACCTCTGAAACTCTTTGCTTGTCTTCCTCACACAAATGGAAATTCAGGGGCTTGAGTAGAGCGTCATCATGGAAAATGACAGCCTCATTGCGAAGCATCATCGAGAACCTACAAGGAGGTGAGTGGCCCATGTGCTCCGAGGAGCTGTCCATCCAGAGAAAGCTCGACATTAGTTCTCTTCCTACACATAGTCAGAGAAGTCGGGGAGAGGGTGTCATTTCTTCCAGGTGAAATGCTTGAGCATACTGGTGGCTCATCCTCTGAAAACAGGGAAAAGAAAGAGTCACAGCATCTCTGGTGGCCAAGGGGGACGTACCTCTTGCCCGTCTTTGCTGATGTTGTCATCAGCATGCCTGGCCACGATGGAGAGGAACTGCAGGAGGCGGTGGAGGGTGTCGCAGTTGCAGGGAGGTAGAAGGTAGATGAGGAGTTGCAGGGTGCCCAGCTGTTCCTCTGGCTCCAACACTAAGCAAGGCAAAAAGAGGTGCTCTAAGTCAAGGGTGCACAAACCAGCCACTGAGGAACTGTCTTTCGGAAGGGGTTATCAAGGCAAGTCACATTTCATTCATTCATTCACTCTCCCATTAGGTTAGTGAACTAGCAGCCCATCTCTCTGAAGGATATAAAGATGGATTAACCCTGGGGAAATGGAACAACTAGAGAAATCATGATAATCCATAATGGAAGGGTAACTTAATTTTCCTTACTTGCTTCTCCCTTCTTTCCCCGACGTAACTCATCACTTACTTTATGGATCTCAATCCTTCATTGTTGGTAAATATTTACGAACAATGGCTGAAAATTAATGAAGGTTCTGGAACTTGAGTTTCTAATGGGTTTGGGGCTCTTTTCTGTTGAGGAACACCCAAAGGATAGAATTTCTGTTGGCAGTACCCAAGACACGGCACAAGGGCAGCGTCTTCTCTCTCTGTCGTGGTCCTATATTAATTGTAGCGCTGGAGGCTGACTGAGTCTATCCTTCCTCCCCATCACCCTCCATTTCTCCTCCATGGGATCTGTATCTAGAGCCCAGAAGTAGCCACATTAGAAGTCCTACCATTGGGCTTCCCTTGGATCATTGCCTGCCCCCTCCTCTCTGGGTTCCTGTGGCTTCCTCCTTTTTCATTCCAGAAAGGCAAACTTATTTTTAGGGACAGATTTAATGTGAACTCTTGCTAGTATTCCAAAGCATCAATTTACATAGCACTTTCTACAGTCTTAGGGGTCATTTGAAAGCATCCCAAATTCTTCTTGCTAATTCTCCCTAGGGTAAATCTCAGAAAATTCCCCAAATAGCCCACTCATTAGAGACTAATAAATAAAGACAAAAAAAGCTATCAGTGCAAACATGAACAAAGCTTTGATGAGTGACTTGGATATGCTGGTATTCCACGGGCACTTCCCCGCAAAGGGCTGCCTTACGCACACAAAGTGTTGATGAAGGCCGTGTACAGCTCCCTGGTGAGAAGGGGGTCCGGCATGTCCCTCAGGAACTCCTTCAACAAGGCAGCCACATCATGGACGCTGTGCTCCTCCTCCAGAGAGACATCAATCCCACGGTCAAATTCTTCCCGTAACTGGAAAAGAACGGTTCGGGTGGCAGTCACATAACACCATACATACCTCAACGTTCAGTTCCCAGCAAAACAAGTGCTTTGGCACAAAGCACCTGGTATTAAGTTTGTTCAGACCCCCGAAAAGGAGAAGCAAACAACATGTTGCCTTAATCTGCAGAGTCTGTGCAACCCAGCCATGAATATAGTATATATATTTTACATGTGTTATTAAATAAAACTATCTGTGGGCTTACTGTTGATGATGCAAGCAGAAGGGCTCAATAACGACAACCAGAAGGTTGGGAGGAAGAGCAAAGTGGTGGAGGAGAACTTAGGTCAACTCTAAATGTGGGAGGGAGTAATTCATCTATTACGCAGCCTTTCTGCATGTCAGCAATCCTGCCATGTTGGAATTTTGAAATTTTACAGAGGCATTCGACAAGAAAGCAATGAGCTTTTTCTGCAGACAATTAAATTCAAAACCCTGATAAGCCATTCATGACTAAGCCTTGAAAGATAACAATCACGAAACAAAAGCTGTCTTAGATTTGTCAAAGTAGCCTTATTAACAATTCCCAGAAGGACTCTTTGCCTTAATCATTACACTCGGTCTATTAGCATTTATCGCAGTAGGAACCCACAATAGCAAGAGGGGAGTAATAACTCCACACCCTACTTTCATCCCTGACAGCTCAACTTCTTTGATGCATTATTCTCTGCTGTAGATATAATTATGTGAGTTCATGAATCTACTCTATGTAATAACCTTCTATAAAAATTCATTTGTTCAATTATTCATTTATTCATTCACTCGACAAAGATTTACTGCACTCTTCATACGTACTCTCTTAAGGGCCCTAGAAATACGGTGGTGAACAAAAAGGCAAAGTCCCTCCCCTCCCCCAGCTCCCAGGCTGGTAGAGAGACAGGTGATCAGCAGGTAATTCTAAAAATGACTAGCTCTTAATATAGTGACAAGCGTTCTGAAGAGCAAGTGTAGGCTGCTAAGAGGCAACATAACAAGATAGACTGGAGAATGAGAGCATACTTCATACTTCAAATCAAAGTGACCACTAATTATATTTGTACTCGATCATCCATCCTTAAATGTTACTTCCTCAATCTCCATGCAAAGATTCTCCATTTGGTGAATCCAGATATAACTGATAAATCATTGTTGACACTTGTCACCTCTCTTCCTGAGGAGACTACCTACCCATCACTGCCCTGAAAGGTTGACTGACTCCAGACAACATACCCTCAACGTGCATTAGGCACCCAGAATGAAGACCACTCTTCCATTGGCACAATTCTGACTTGCGATGACGGAAACCCAACATCTTTCTTTTTTGAGCACACACACATGCAGGAAAATATTTGTTCTATGGACTGGTTAGTGTGTGTGATCTTGAAACAAGTTTCTTAAGCTCTCTAAGCCTAAAAAGAAGTAGATGAAAGAAGCTACTCTCATGGCTGGTGGGTGGATTCAATGAGATAATGTTTGTGAAAATACTCCGCAATTCTGCACAGATGCGAGGCCCAACGAATGTTACTCTTCTATATTCCTTCCTGTAAGCTTTGTGGTGAAACGCTGACTGTTGTTCAATAGTCTCTTGTGTGACTATTAAACAAAAACCAACCAAACAAATGGAAAACACATTTCTTCTGAAAGCTCCTTTTATTTTGACAGAAGAGATACAAGGAGATATTTATTTCAGGTAGTTTCAATAATATGAACAAATATCATTTCTTCAGCTCTATCGAACTAAAAATTATTTTCTCTTGGTTTCATTACTGAGTTGCTGAGCTCTTTATTTCCTTCTGCGGAAACCAAAAGAGGGAAAACAGCATTTTAATGCTCTTTCAGCCAACAAATGAATTCTTTTCCCAAAGGATGGTTTGTCTTTTCTGAAGCCATTATGAATGCGGACACCTGCCCATTGCGGGATACTATTCCTGAAGGTCTAATATCAAACGTTTGTTGCCAGAATGGGACATAGTAGCCAAGGTCACCATGGGTACAGATCCCTACAGGAAAAATGAATTGGGGATCGATAGTTCTAGGGAAACTTAGAATTATTTATTCTTGAGAAAGTAAAGCTATAAACATAGCATCTTATATTAATGGCATTTTTCGTATTGTATCGCATTGGGTAAATCTGTTGCAAAAGTCTTCTTTAAAGTGCTGAAAAGCAAAGATGTCACTTTGATGACTAAGGTGCGCCTAACCTAAGCCATGGTATTTTATGGAGCTCATATGCATGTGAAAGCTGGACAATGAATAAGCAAGACCCAAGAAGAATTAATGCCTTTGAATTATGGTGTTGGTGAAGAATGTTGAATATACTATGGACTGCCAGAAGAACAAACAAATCTCTCTTGGAAGAAGTACAGCCAGAGTGTTCCTTGGAAGCAAGGATGGTGAGACTGCATCTCACATACTTTGGACATGTTATCAGGAGGGACCAGTCCCTGGAGAAGGACATCATGCTTGGTAAAGTCAGCAAAAAAAAAGGAAGACCCTCAACGAGATGGATTGACACAGTGGCTGCAACAATGGGCTCAAGCATAACAATGATTGTGAGGATGGTCCAGGACTGGGCAGCTTTCCATTCTGTTTTGCATAGGGTTCCTAACAACATTTTATGATAATAATGGGTACTCTACAATTATTTTCTATTTACTATCACTTGCTGATCAGATTCTGTCTGAATCTCCTGCTTTATGGCTCGATAAGATGATTACAAATTAGTTTTGTTTCACTGGACATGATATGGATGCACCCAGGCATTTTGCTTTTAGGCATTTTGTCCTAATTCGATGACATTTCTGAGTTTCTGAGTTGTTGCCTTTCACCTCCTGGGATTAAGAATTGACTTGAAGGCAAGAAGGCAGGGGTTTTTTTTTTTTTTTTTTGTTACATCAGAAAAAAGAAACCAAACCCATTGCTGTCGAGTCAATGACCCTGCCGTAGGAGCGTCAAAAAGAGATATTCAGAAATGGATTTGCATAAGCTTGAACTCTGCACAAGGTCATTCAGTTGGAAGTCAAGTGAAATGTACAATATAATCTTCACTTTGCACTTACTTGTCTCACTCTCTTTTTTGAGCTTCCCACTCGGAATATCCCCACTGTCTGAAGACCTGCAAAGAAGCAAACAAAATCAACAGTCCTGTTTTAGTGCTTAGAACTCTGGAGGAAATCAAATAGAAATCAAACAGAATGCCAGCATAGCTATGTAACATGTAGAGCAATAGGAAGTACATAAATGCTTATTTATCCCACTCTATTTATATTCTCCAGGTCTTTCAGTGCCAGGATCGCTTTGTTTCAATGTTTCTGATGAAAAAATTTCCATGTGATATTATGTATTTCCGTGCCTTCTCCATATGAAGGAAGATAATGTAGCATTTCTTTACTGTTCAGAATAATGATTTATGCATGAATTTTACATGAATTTTTAGTTATTGTATCAATTTTTAAAATAAATATTTCTTGTTTTTCTGATCATAATAAAAGTAAGTGCTTCTTGAAGAAAATCTAGAAAAATAAAATATTTAAAAAATATCTGATACAGAAATAATCACTCATAATATTTTGGTTTATTTCTTTCCAGCCAATATATGCATATTTTTTTTACATAGATGAGATCATATTATATATATTTTCAATGCTTCTGTTTTCATTCGATATTATGCCACTAGAATTTTCATGCCAGTAAAAACCTTGTAAATATCATATAAAACAGATGCAAAATATTATACGAATGTGTCACAATTTACTTCCTATTGCATTGGCATATAGATGCCCCAACAAACACCCACTATTTTTGCCGTTATAAATGATCCTACTATGAACAACTCAGAGACCTGGTGCTGGAGTGGTTAAGAGCTCGGCCACTAACAAAAAGGCTGGCAGTTTGAATCCACTAGCCACTCCTTGGAAACCTGATGGGGCAGTTCTACTCTGTCCTATACAGTTGCTATGAGTTGGAACCAACTCGACCACAACGGTTTGGTTTTCGGTTTTATGAACAACTCAGTGCATAGGTCTTCGGTCACATTTCTAATTTTTTTAAGATCAAGTTTTAGAAGTGGGATTATAGGGTCAACACGTACGACAAAGAGTTATCTGGTCCAAAACATCAATACTACTAAGGTTGAGAAATCCTGCTTTACAAGATTGTGTGAGTGTGTGTGTGTTGTGTGCCACTGAGTCAATTTTAACTCATAGCAACCCTATACAACATCATAAAACTGCCTCATAGGGTTTCCAAGGCTGTAATCTTTATAGAAGCAGATAGCCAGGTCTTTTCTCCTGTGGATCGGCTGGTGGGTTCAAATTGCAGACTTTTCGGTTAGCAGCCGAACCCTTAACCACTGCTCCACCAGGGCTCCTTTCTAAAAGATTAGGTCTCCTAAACAAATCATATCACTGTCACACATTAGTGTTTTTAACAATAAAAAAAAAAAAACAAAACCCGTTGCCATACGAGTCGATTCCGACTCATAGCAACCCTAAAGGACAGAGTAGAACTGCCCCATAGAGTTTCCAAGGAGCACCTGGTGGATTTGAACTGCCAACCTTTTGGTTAGCATCCGTAGCTCTTAACCACTACGCCACTAGGGTTTCCAATAGTTTCTTATAATTTTCAGTTGGCATATACATAAGATTCATAAACTATGACAGGTCGATATGCCTTTTAATAACTCTCTTTTAATCTATATGTTTGTTTTCCCCTCTCCGTTTATTTTTTCCTTATAATTTGTTTGATGAAGAAATGGAATTGATTTCCCACTATAGATTTCCATGCTGTCTGGATCTGGACACTCTGTGGTGTCAATTATATGTTCCTCTTGTTTGTTTATTTCGTGTAAAGTGATAACCCGTTGCCATCTAGTCGATTCTGACTCATAGCGACCCTGTAGGGCAGAGTAAAACTGCCCCATAGGGTTTCCAAGGCTGTAATTTTTACAGAAGCAGACTGCCACATCTTTTTCCTGCAGAGCGGCTAGTGGGTTCAAACTGCCAATCTTTCGGTTAGCAGCCCAGCGCTTAACCACTGTGCCACCAGGGCTCCTTGGACATGAATATAGATGAGGTCAAAACAACTGTCCAAGACCAATTTTGGAGAGGGTGGAAAGATCTTTGACACATGTTTATAAGGCCAAAGTGAATCAAGCCCTCTGCTACTCACTTCAAAATCTGGCAAATAACGTCCTACAAACTTTTGGAGTTTCCTGGTTTTTTTTTTCCATTTGTTTTACAGTGACCAAGATTAATATGTTTGCATTTGAATGGGTCTCTTATTTCTGGAGCTATTTGGTCTAAATACACCTTGGAAATCCAGAGTCAAATGAGGGCCTTGAAAGGTTATCCAGGTTATCTTCTTGCCTTTAGGCCCTAAGCTGCATTCCAAACAAGAAAGCAAACTGCCCTACTTCTGAACCATCCTGAAAAAGCACTATTTTACAAACTGTAATACGTGCCGGTAGAAGCAAAGAATAAAATAAAAAGAAACTCTGAGTTTTCTCTCACAAAAGCAGTTACTCAACCTGGCACTAGATTTTGAGTGATTGGGGTGAAATTTTCTTGCGTAAAATTCCTTAAAACGCTTAAAGTTCATTCTCTATATTCTTTATAGGGAACATTTTTTTTTTAATTGTACTTTAGATGAAGGTTTACAGAACAAAATAGTTTCTCATTAAACAGTTAGTACACATATTGCCCTATGACAATGGTTAACAACCCCATGACATGTCAACACTCTCCCTTCTCGACCTTGGGTTCCCTATTACCAGCTTTCTTGTCCCCTCCTGCCTTCTAGTCCTTGTCCGTGAACTGTCGTGCCCTATTAGTCTTGTTTTGTTTTATGGGGCCATCTAATCTTTAGCTGAATGGTGAACCTCGGGAGTGACTTCATTACTGAGCTAAAAGGGCGTCCGGGGGCCGTACTCTCGGGGTTTCTCCAGTCTCTGTCAGGCCAGTAAGTCTGGTCTTTCTTTGTGAGTTAGAATTTTGTTCTACATTTTTCTCCAGCTCTGTCCAGGACCCTCTGTTGTGATCCCGGTCAGAGCAGTCAGTGGTGGTAGCCGGGCACCATCTAGTTGTACTGGACTCAGTCTGGTGGAGGCCGTGGTAGTTGTGGTCCATTAGTCCTTTGGCCTAATCTTTTCCTTATATCTTGTTTTCTTCATTCTCCCTTGCTCCTGAAGGGGTGAGACCAGTGGAGTATCTTAGACCGCTGCTCACAGGCTTTTAAGACCCCAGACGCTGCTCACCAAGGTAGAATGTAGAACATTGTCTTTATAAACTGTGTTATGCCAATTGAGCTAGATGTTCCCCGAGACCACGGTCCCCACAGCCCTCCGCCCAGCAATTCAGTCCTATAGGGAACATTTATAATTATAAAAGTGTTTGTCCATTTTCTACTCTATAGTGCAGTTTAGACTGAATTTCCATATTCACAGTAGTGAAATCTTAAGTTGCTAAGCCACTTTTTAAAAACAATTCGGTTCAAATAACATTTATTAAGCGTCTACCTTGTGTTAATCATGATACTAAGAGCTGGGAATTCAAAATGAGTAAGACATTGTCCTTGTCTTCAAGTTTGCCTTCCAAGGACAGGCAGAAAGATAAATTTAAAACTCCACGCTGAAAATTTTGTATAAAACAAATAAGGTAAGGTTTCAATACATATTAACTTTATTAAGTTGTTTATATGTTGTCCTGTGACTTCCATATATACTAAGTTAAGACATTTAGTTTTATCTCAAAAAAAAATTTAAGTCTCACATTTATTAGAAGGAAAAATAGGAAAATGTTACCATTAGTTTTGTGTGCACGGCAGCCCTCAGACTCTTCTTTGCTTTTCTGTTTCTTTTTTTTAGTTTTAAATTTTATTTTTTACAGAGAACAGATTATTTTTATAATAAAGCAACAATTAAGAAACTTTTGCTCATGCCCATAAAATGCAGGCTAAATAAAGCAAACACATTTAAATTATGGAAATGGTAGTTTGCTGAGCCAAAAGTCTACATTTCAGAGTATTTTTCAGAGAACTGCCTTTCTATTATTGTTAAGTCAACACGTTAACTGAGTTGCCAAAAAGGGCATGGTGGAGAAATTTTAAGTGGCCGTCTTTCACAAGAATGAAATTAACAGCCTGCAAATCTATTGTCAAAAGCTATACATTTTCTATTCACTTAAGCAATGGTTTTCAAATAATTTTTTTTAAAGAAGTTGGACTCATTTCTCTTTAAAGGAAACCTAGTGAGTAACCTCAACGTATACAAAAAGAAGATAAAAGTGGCTCTGCTCTGATTGAAGGGGGCTCTGGGGACAGATCCAGCCAAAAGACCCCACCCTTTCCCCAAATCGCTTGGCCTCCAGACTCACTTCTGAGGAATTTTGGTGGCTTAGCAGTCTGAACACAGACCTTCTCCCACAATCCCGTTCAGCCCGTCATCTCTTAAGCAACCACTCACACCCGTAAACTTTCCTCACAGCCCAGAGTCTGATCAAAGGAACAAAAGTTGAAATTGGGTGGTTAAATGAATGATGCTGGATAAAGGCCATCTTTGGTACTTGATGAGGGAGGAACTAGGCTACTTACCGTGCTTTTCTAGATGCTGACAGCAGCTGTCCACCAGTCTGGGGACCTGTCTGTAAATAGGATTCAGACTGAGTTTCTTATCTCTGGCTTTTTCTTTTTTATTTTGCGCTTCAGCTGGCAAGGAGAGCTGCAAAGCTTCCAGAAGTCGAGACTGATTGTCATCAAGATCTGTGATGGAATCCACTGACATGGCACCCTGCAAATCATACACAGGCATGAACCAAGAGTGCAAATGGAGAAAACAAAAACCTCCTGCAGATGCTAGCCAACAAACCCTCTTGCCCATGACTAGTTATCACACTTGAAATGACACTGCTTGATTTAACTGTGCTGCTTGCATATTAAAAACAGGGAGAAAAAGTCTTTTGAAAATGTCAGGAAACCAATACAACATAGGGTAAAATAATGGCAGTTACCATTTCAACACAGACAATATTTGCCAAATGAAAGACAAGGGATGGAAAACATAAAATTAAAATACTTTGGCCCAACTATTTCATTTCTTGAAACATAAATTAAAAAAAGAAAAGAAATCACATACTCAGTGAATGAGATAGTCATAGACATCTTGTGAACAAAAAAATTCAACTATGACTGCAGGAAGTAGATTGTAAAATAGGAGGATTCCATAAAGCTGTCTTAGTTTGGTTCCCCCCAGAAGCAGCATGTAGTGCTTTATCAAGGAGGTGGTTCCCGGGAAACACCTGTAGGGGAGTGCAGAAGGAAGGGCAGACAATGAAGGGAGCATTACCAATTACCACTTTGGGCAACGGGAGCTCAATGCCCCTGGGGAACTCTAGGAGACAGTGTAGAGCACCTCAGAGCTATCCCTGCTAAGGAGCCAGCGAGCTGGGGTATTTATACACCACTCCCAAGAGTCATTGGTTAAGGGTAGCTCCTGGCTGGGACAGGGAGTTGGCATTAGTGTCTCAGTACTTGTTGTCTACCATCTGCATGAGCTGGGAGGCTCTATGAGTGAGAGAAAGCCCTCAGCAAAGAGATGAGGTGCTGGCAGGTGGAAGGTGAGCTGGTGTGCTAGGAATGGGGAAGGCTGAGGAGAAGGGAGCAGACCACTATCCGTATCTGCTGTACCCACCCATCCTTTCATGAAACATAGATGAAGAAGTTGGCTGCTCACATCCTAGCAGGGTCTGGGCAGAGGAGAGGGCATTGGGAGGCCCATTGCCTAAGCCTTAGATTCCCAGAATGCTCAGATTTAGACTTTTGATTTTATTGCTAGATGGGTTTAGACACACAGTCTGAGAAACGATGATGCACTGAAAGAACAATTTCATCATGCAAATTCAAGTATTCCATCATTTTATCAATTCTTCCTTTCTAAGCACAGCAGAAGCATCGATAAATAGTTGTGGTTTCCCGAACCTCAGATAAATCTATATCTATATATATACACACACATACCTCTCTACAGTACTGTTTGATCAAAAAAAAAATCATTCTTCCAATAGATAAGGAAAAATCTCATTGTTTATGAAGACCCACATGCAGCCAATTCATTCAGCCAGACATGGTTCTCAGCCTGGAGATGGTGAGATCGAGCAAACACCAGTCCCTGCCCTCAAGCCTCAGAATTCAGTGGGAAGTCTAGCAAGACTACAGAAGATGACAATAGATGGGATCAATGGCGATGTAGAATGTTCCGGATATCATAGGGCATGGGGGTAACAAAGGAGGGCCACCCAACAGCTTTGAGAGGGGTCAGAAAAAGCTTTGAGAAGGTGCCAGGTACCACATGCCCAGTGCAAATTCTCGCTCAATGAGGCTGTTGACCAATCCCTGGACCTGAACTACATTTCCAGGTTTCACATGAGCAAAAACTCAAGGAATAACCTTATACACCCTCAGTTTTCCTAACATCAGCATCAGAGAAAATACAGGCCTACTCACCCTCCTCCTGGCCCTAGGAGCCGGTTCCGGGGTGTTAGGTGATGTCGACTCATTTGGTGTTTCTGAGGTTGAGCTGAGAGATGAGTTACTGCTTGAGAGTTCTTTGTTTTGTCTTTTATTTCCAAATGGGAGAAGAGAAGCCACAAAATCCGATGCGTCCTTCTGCTCGTCCTTCTGCGAGTCCTGCTTGAGTTTATAGGCCCGGTCATTCGCAATGACTTGGGATAAGGGCATTCCAAATGCCTGCGGGATGAATTCTGGAATCGAAACACAAACATTCACTTTCAGAGGAAGCCTGGCCAGGGAACGTGCTCACTCGCGCTTCAGACCTATAGGCAGACACAGTCAAATGGTTGTTTTCCCAAGTATTGATTCATCAGTCAAAGACTGGAGATGACATTGGTGTTTATCAGCATGACCAAAGTCTCTCTTTAAATTAAGAAAGCCAGTAGGTAGAAAAGACACAGGTTTTAGAAATCTAGGCCTCTAGTTTTCCTTCACCTGTCACAAGTCTGTTTTAAAGGAAATCACTTTATAGAGAAATGTGACATTTGGGGATCAAAACAACATACTGTCCTCATGAATACGCAGTTTTACAAACTAGTCTTCGATTTACAAGTTTCAGAGGCCCCTGGAGCTGACAAGGCATGGGGAGACTGTGGGATTTATTAAATACCGACTGTGTATCATGACAAGCATCAGCCTGAGAAGAAATACAACCAGAATACTCCCTAGAAGCAAGGATGGTGAGACATCTGCTCGCTTACTTCGGACACGTCATTAGGAAAGACCAATCGCTGGAAAAGAACACCATGTTTGATAAAGCAGAGGATCAGCGAAAACGAGGGAAACCCTCCACGAGGTGGACTGACACAGTAGCCAAAACTATGCTTCAAACACACCAACAATCAAAAAGATGGCACAGGACTGGGAACGTTTCATTCTGTTATAGGTAAGGTCACCAGGAGTCAGAGCCAACTCGACGGCAACTACCAACAATATCATGACAAGTTACACAATGGGGGGTACAAAGCTTACGGACGGTCCAGTCCTCACTCTTGAGGGGTTCAGAGTGTGAGGAGAAGTGAGAGGAGTAGAGAGTCAGGTATGTAAATAACTATGACAGAGTGTGTATATGATGTGCTATGGTAGAGACATACGAGGTGAAGATGGAAATTCAGTTAAGTGGATACACTTTGGGGTCCACAATAAAAGTGTGGGAGGGAGAGGAGCAGTTTGCTCTTTTTTCATTGTGTTCCTCATCCCCATGTCTTATCTCCAGCCAGCTGCACTGGGGCTGTCGCCCTCATAACCTATACTCAAGCCATCCTGCTGGCCACATGCAAAAGTGGACTCCACCACAAACTGTGTAGTGGAGGGCTCCAGATACAATTTGTTAAGTCCTTTAGTAAGTACGATTTTGGGGACTGGGCATAACGCAGAAATCTATGGCTTTATTTGGCAAGGTACCTGCAGTTGCTTTCTGGATCTCTGTAGTAAATTTGTCTACATATACACTGCAAGCACGCCAAGGCATTGTTGTTGTTAGGTGCCGTCAAGTCGGTTCCGAATCACAGTGACCCCATGCACAACAGAATGAAACACTGCCCAGTGCTGCTCCATCCTCATGATCGTTGTTATGCTTGAACACATTGTTGTGGCCACCGTGTCAATCCATCTCATTGAGGGTCTTCCTCTTTTTCGCTGACCCTCCACTTTACCGAGCACGATGTCCTCCTACAAGGACTGATCCCTCCTGATACTCTGCTATTCAAAAGTTTTTCACTGGCTAATTTTTTTTCAGAAGTAGACCGACAGTCCTTCTTCCTACTTTATCTTAGTCTGGAAGCTCAGCTGAAACCTGTCCACCATGGGTGACCCTGCTGGTATTTGAATACTGGTGGCATAGCTTCCAGCAGCACAGCAACACACAAGCCACCACAGTATGACAAACTGACAGACGTGTGGAGGGCCAAGGCATTGCATTGGCAATATTTTAGTTTCATACTGAAAAGCACTGATAATTGAATTAAATGCATAATTTCTTTTAGACTCAACATGAAAAGGCCCACTAGAAGCAGCAAGTCGGAGTCTAGCTTTGCACTTGTTTTTATAACTCCTATGAATGAAACCAGGAGCCCTGGTGGAGCAGTGGTTAAAGTGCTCGGCTGTTAAGTGAAGGGTTGGCGGTTTGAACTGACCAGCTGCTCCTTGGGAGAAAGATGTGGTAGTCTGCTTCCATAAAGATTACGGCCAGCTTTGGAAACCCTATGGGGCAGTTCTACTCTGTCCTATAGGGTCACTATGAGTCGGAATTGACTCGACGGCAATGGATTTTTGGTTTAATATGAATGAAACAAGCATGATCAAAGGCAAATATTCTAAGGTTGTTTGTTCTTTGAAAGAAAAAGCTAACATTAAATCAAGTGGAAAGCGGTTTTAAAAGGTCTTCTCCTCAATCCATGGCAACATTTTAAACATCACTGGGCTAATGACCACATCTACATCAAAAGCAGAAATGGTCCTTGAAAAGCGTGCACCTCTGGCTCTATCAAAACATGAAAATTTTCATGAAGTAACAAATCAAAACTTCAGCATCTGGAGATTTTCAGGGGATGCTAGTCATCGTCCATCAACCAACCAGAAGCTGCACATGATAATACTGTAAAAAAAATTAGGCATTGCTCTTTTGAATGACCAATGTGGACAGTGTGTTGTTGTTGGTTGCTGTCGAGTTGATTCAACTCATGGCAACCCCAGGTGTGCAGAGTGGAACATCTACAAAGGGTTTTCAAGGCTGTGACCTTCCAGAAGCAAATCACCAGGCCTGTCTTCCATGATGCCTCTGGGTGGGTTCGAACTGCCAACCTTTCAGCTAGTAGTGGAGTGCTTAACCATTTGCACCACCTAGGGACTTCCACGGACAGTGTAGCAAGATTCAATACTCACTACTGATGAAAGGCTGTTTCTAATACTAGCAAAAACAGAAATCAAATGCAAGGGGACGATATCAGATCACTTGCTTCCTATGCTGAATACTTATATAAATCAGCACTGCCTTGTCTGTGGAAATAATCAAATAGTCTTACTCCAAAAAGGTTGGGAAAAGTCAAGGAACATGAGGATGGCAAGGCTGACAGCTACAGGAAATACACAGAAACTGCCCAGAGATGATAACAGTAAAAAGGACATTGATAAATATATTAAGTGACATGAATCGGCCCATGTAGGCAAACTAATAATAGGGGTTTAATACGAGATGAAGACTATTGATGCTTCTCATAGCCATTTTTCCAAAAAAGGAAATGAAACAGACTCACTTAGAGATTTCTAGTAGCTCTGGACAAAACGAAGAAAATGGTTTCCTTTGGAATCTGTCATTTTTAATATCTGAAAGTCTGTCACTCTCTTTGTAAACTGGAATAATTGGGTACAAATGAAACAGGTGAAACACAGGAAGCCATTCTCTCTCATTAAATTCTCATTTCTCTTTTTTCCCCATCTAAGAATTGCCAACAGATTTTCATCTCTCTCTGATAGACTTCTTTCCTGGCTGAGTGTATTTATTCTTTCAGGGGTAGAGTTTTGTTGTGGTGTCTAATTTCTTGTTGATTTCCCTCGAGGACACCTACAAGCCTCAGAAAGGAGACCTCTCTTTGCTCTTAGCTTCTATTGGAGTGTCTATTTAGTCTCTGTAAAATTCTAGGCAGGATTCTGGGATATTATTGCTTCTTGAAACATGGCTGTTGTGAAATTGAGAGCTCCTCACGAGGCTATTGAGCAAATCTTTCCTCTACATGTAGACAAAGCGTTGGGCGCAAACGTTTATGGATCTGCGGGCCCAAAGGTCTTCCACTAGGGGAAAAAGGAACCTTGAGACGCTGTGTTGACAGTGGCTAATAAATTTGGTGATAGCTTTTTAATACAGCAAGGAAATTACCCAAGACTCACTGTCCTAGGGCTAGGGACAATGTATACCATGTCCCAAGTGATGGCGTGTGATCCCCAAGGAGACTGCTTCCCCTGTCCTCCTCACTGGTAGCGACTGTCTACTCTCCCATCAACCATGGGGTCAGGAGGTGGCAGGCCATCCTCTTTCTCCCCTGTGCTGTGTCCAGACATTCACCCCCACCCCCACCCCCACCCCCCACTGTGTGGCAGACCTGCTGCTGCAAGGTTTCCCTTGTCCTCTGCTTCCTGCTGCTTGTGCTCCTGCTCAGGGTTGGCCAGTGCAGGGTCGGCACCAGAGTGAGTACGTCCTTAAATCTGATGGGCTAGGTGCCTTATTCACCTGACCCTAGTCCCAGCTCTGTTTGCAGGTCATAGGGTCTCCGTTGCAACTACTCAACTCTGCCAGTGCAGCACAGAAGCAGCCATAGATGATATGTAAAGAACGGGTGCAGTATGTTGCAATAAAACTTTATTTACAAAACCAGGCAGCGGGCCAACCCCAGGTATAAATGATACCTTCTCATGCCTGTACCTTCACCTCTTGTTTTCTATCAGATGCCCTCTTCAGCATTTAAACATATTCAAGCTGCTCCTTCTTAAAAAAAAATAAATAACCTTCCATCCACCCTATTCTCTCAATAGTTTCCCACGTCTCCTTTCTCCCTAGTTAACATTCTCTCGAGTGTTACCTTTACTTTCTGGCCTCTACTTTTCTCACCTGCCACTCTCTCTTCATCTCACCCAGTTTGGCTGTAGCCTCCACTGTTATTCTAAAACAGCTCTCTCTGAATTCATGGTTGACTTCAAGGACATTAAATTCAGTGTGTTCACCAGCCCTATGTCATTTGCCCTCTCACAGGCAGCCTTCAACCCTTGTGGCCACTTCCCGGAAACACTCTCTGTCCTTGGCATCCCGGACATACATACTATCCTAGTCTTTCTCCTGCCTTTCTGGCTACATTCTTGTGCCTTTTGCTGGTTTACTGTTCTCTACCCAGTGTTTTCTAGGGGGTAGCGGTGGTTTAGTGGTAGAATTCTTGCCTTCCATGAGGAGACCTGGGTTCAATTCCCCGCCGATGCACCTTAAGTGCAGCCACCACTCATCTGTCAGTAGAGGCTTGCGTGTTGCTGTGATGCTGAACAGGTTTCAGTGGAGCTTCCAGAGTAAGACAGACTAGGAAGAAAGGCCTGGCAAGCTACATCAGAAAATCAGCCAGTGAAAACCCTATGGATCACATGGTCTGATCCACAATGGATTGTGGGGATGGTGCAGGACTGGGCAGGGTTTTGTTTCATTGCGTATGGG